CTTGCTCTACCCATTCTATCTGCTTACTGCTTCCATATTCACACTGTGAGTTAGTTAATGATAAGGCGTGGTCTAGGATCCCAGGTAACTGACTCCTAGTCCTGTCATCTTTCTGCTATACTAGCCTGTCTCTATACAGCCTGCTAAAAGGCAAATGTGACTTTGGAAGGAAAATAACCTAATAATGAGCTCTAATTCATGACCTCTTTGAGACCTGGGTCCTCAGGGAATGAAACAAGAGTGCTGGCAGATTTTGATGGGGGATTTCTGGGTGGCAGGGAGGGCAAGATAGATGGAGAATTGCTTTGGGGAACCAGAAGCCAGGACTCCCGGTACCTGGAGGAAAGTGAAAAATGGAGAAGAATCTAAAAAAAAAAGTAAAGAAATGGAAGTTTAGGGGCAGCTAGGTGGTGCAGTGGATAGGGCACTGGCCCTGGATTCAGGAGGACCTGAGTTCAAATGCGGCCTCAGACACATAACACTCACTAGCTGTGTGACCCTGGGCAAGTCACTTAACCCCAACTGCCTCACAAAAAAAAAAAAAAAGGAAGTTTGGAAGCAGATGGACTCACTGGTCTTCCTGTTTCACACGTTCCCAATTTTGTTCAAGCCCACTCAAAAGCAGAGGAGGAAAGATAATGGGAACTAGCTCCAGCTGGGAAAACTTCAGGTCGGGGGAGGAGCCAGGCCACTAACAGATGTCACTGTCTTTCCTGGCAGTAATAAAACATTCCCAGGCAGAGACAACACTATGCAAACCAAGTGAATGGGAGGCCCTACCCTGTCCTTTTCTATATCTCTCGGCTTCTCGAGCGTTCTCTTCCCCAGGCAGGAGGTGCCACTCTGATGTCCAAGGAGGGCTTCTAGCCGGGCAATGTCCTCTTCTCCTTCACCATCCTCCCACCAACATGCTCATTCCTTTAGTGCTTTATCATCAGATTACTGTCACTGAGGAAAGTTCTTAGGAAACAAACTCACAATGTTATCAATGACTAATAATTATAATTTAATGCAGGAGAAAGGATTTACATTTTAGAAGAAGTAACCCAAACACAAAAATTCTAATAGGTGACCTTAGAGCTCTGTGGCAGGAGGCTGGTGAGATAGCACAGAGACCTTTTGGGGTCCTCAATCATAGCAGGTGAAGGCTGCTCCTACTGTTTCCAAACTAGGCACCCCCAGTCATTTCTTGACTCTAATAGCTCACAGCTCAAACTCCAACTAGCTTAAACTAGCAGCAACTGGCTACTTCTCTTTTTCAAAAAGAAAGAATGGATTGCAAAACCACCCCAATGTTTCTGTAAGTAACTAGCTGGACACAATAGTGGCATCTCACTAATGCACATATCCAACATCCAAATGAGTCAGAGCTGGACCTGGTTCTAATATCAGCTCTGCTGCTAACTAGCTGTGTGTCTTCAGGGAGGTTTCTCCACCTCTCTGGCCTCAGTTTCTTCACCTGTCAAATAATGGGATTGGACTTAAAGACCCTTGACACTCCTATCTGTATATTTCTAACTTTCTACAAAACAGGCAATAGTATCCCCTTCCTTTGACCCTGGTTCTAACATAGCTTTCCTATGCAGGCAAATACTTGGAGGAGCTGAGACTTCTGAATTACCCAATTCTTGCTGTACCATTTAAAAATAACGTAGATAGCTCGTCCCTCCAAAAACAATCCTCTTCACCATTAGAAGAACTCAGGACAGCTCCTGATACCTCCTGGAGAGACAGGAAGAAAAGTAGCAAACCATTGATGGTTCCCAGCAGACAACTGTCTGACAGATCCAGCCATGTAAAATCCTCCTTCCAGTGACTCAGGTCAGTCGCTCAATCAACACTTAATTCATCCGCAATGTATTCAAGGCATTGAATCAGAGACAGGGTTGAGTTTCCTCCTCACTCTGCAGAAAGCCAGAGGTAAGAGAGAACATGTGGCTTCCATAGTTAAGAAGCAGGGTGGTATACAGTCAGTCATGGAATAATCAAAGCACACACATAGGCTTTATGAATATTTGGAAATCACATATGTAAGAAACATGCCATCAAGCAGCCTCCAAGAATGCCCTACTGATAACCCACTTCTTTAATTTATGCTTTCCTTTTCCAGGTCTTGGTGCATCTGGCGTCTCTCCCACCCCTAACACCACTCCCAGTCTCCGCTAAGTTATTCACCTGCCAGGCTCTATGGCCGTGAGGTGGTATGAGGATTTCATGCCATTTTCACGGGCACGGCTAGGCCTGGACGGGTTCCTCAGAAGCACCCTCCTCTTTTCCCCTACCTCCCCCCATCCTTTCCAAGATCCTACAGTCATCAACACATAGTCCCATAATCCATTCCCAACACACACACTTGCCTGCCCAGACAAGTATCAAGAGGCACCTCCCAAATCTCTGGGAGGAGGGCAGGGGACAGGGTCTGCTTTAGGCAAGATTTTCCAAATATGGGACAGGCTCTGTGACCTCCTTTGCTCTCTCTCTCTCTCCTGCTTCTCTTTCTGATAAACCCTTCCCCTGACCCCCAACCCCAGGAGCTTCAGTCCTGTCACATGACCCCCACAGCTACTCAACACAACCCCTCTACACACAAACAGACACACACTTCATAAATCAAACGGGCTTAATGGGACTTTTTTGTTTTCCAAACCATATTCCTCAAGCATCATAAAAAAATTGAGGCCTAATGTAGTGATGAAAGAGTACAGCATGGGACCCCAAGAGAGAAACTTTTGCACAGCAATGACAAGGTACAATCTTGATTTTGGAGTGACTCTCCTGATAGGAGGCCTCGCTTACAGTCTTAGGAGGGCCACTTTTACAAATCTGGTTTCTGCCCCCACCCAGGGAAATCTGTGACCCAATAAGGGCTACCCTCCTTAGAGGTTTTTGAGCAGAGGAAAACTAACCACTCGTTAGATATTTCACTGCGTGAATTCACTTGATGCATGGGTTGTGCTAAATGGTCAATCCCTCCCAACTCTCAAATTCTGTGATTCTGTGAAACCCTGGAAACACCAGCATCCACTTCATTTTGCTTCTCAGAAGTGGCCCTCGTCTCCTGCCAGTGCTCTAGCTAATGAGCATTAACTATGGAAAGTGATTTATTTATACAACAAAATATAGAATAGTTAATAAACAGTCACTATGCTTCCCACAAAGACCTATGTGGTCCTTCCCACTAATCATCTGCAGGGCCAGAGGTCTCTGCTGGAGTCATCTTTCTTTCCCTTTGCCCTCTGTTCCTCTGTGACTATTTCAACACCCCCCTCCCAGTGCTGGATGCTTCCCTCCAGGAACTGTATGGAGCTCAGCCTCCCCAGCTGACACGACCTCCTCTCCTCGTGGGTGATAGCAAATGAAGACCAGCCTCCTCTCCAGGGCCCCAAGCAGCCTGCTGTCTCCATCACTGTCTGGCCTTCACAGACTTCTCTGACGCTCCAGGGGCCCCATTTCTATCTGCCCGGCCACTGCCAGCAGGACCAATTTCAGCCTGTGTTTTCCTTCTATCTATGCCCCCTCCCCAAACCTAGGCTCATGTGTTTCCTGTTATAACCAAAGAGGCTTCCTTCTTGCACATGAATACCAAGGGGTCAGAGACTTATCCATCTCTTCCTGGGGCAAGGCTGCTACACAAATAATGTAGGATCAGTTCTTAACTTTGAAAATATACTCGGTCATTTCCTATCTATCTTAATGCAGTGGAGCAAGAGAGAGAATAAAAAATAGTAGATACTGACAGGAGATTCCAGAAGGAGAGAGGTTTGTTCTAATTAAGTTAAGCAGAGGTGGTCAGGGGAGAGAGAGGAAGTTCCCAAGTGGGATTTCCTCAGTGCCCAGGGGCCACACCACCTTTACACCCAACTGGGACTATACGGCAACCTGGGAAGGGTGGGGCCTTCAGTGCCAAACACCCTGGAAGACAGGGAATGTCTCTCAACCTGTGAGTAAAAGACATGAAATTTATTACCATGAATTGCATCATGGAACTCCAATACATTAAAGTACCATAATGTCCTCCTTGTGGACACTCCCTTCACTGACGCAAATCACAATCTTCCCATGCCTAGGGGCAAACAGTTCTCATGAGCTGCTGTGACAGAAAAAAAGAATTCATCACCTAGTGACCACTTTCCTAGTAAGGAGTATTTCATATTTCCAAGGCTGGTCTCTGGAAAACAGACATCAAGTATGCTGCCAAGCTAAGTAGGACCCGGCCAAAGCCCAGCCTCCTCTGGCATCACCTTTGGGAACCCAGGGTCACCTCCACATCATGGTAAGGCATCAGACCCACTTTCTAAAGGGTAGTTGGGGGAAGGGTCTATTTCAAAACAAAAACATTCCTAATCTGGAGAAGTTTTTACTAGATCATTTCCCCCAAAGGTATAAAAATAAGTAAAATGAGCATTTTTCCTACTCATTAGGCATATTTTCAGGTACCCTGAACAAATGGCCATCTGTCATGCTCACATTTCATGTTTTAAGAGCAAAAGTTGACTGAAATTACTAAATCTTAAAAACAGTCACTCTTTAGGGAAGAATCAGCCCAATTTTTTCAGCTCTGCTTAGAAAAGCAAATATTCAGCCTCCTGAAAACCCTCTTCACTGTTTGGGTGTGATTAACTCCAGCCTATGTGTTTGGAAGGGGCAGTAATAGCTTCCTTCCCTGGTGCTTCCAAATGGTGAAACTTAAAAATGTAGAGCATTACTTCGAAAATTTGTCTCATTCTATTCATTTTCCATCAACTGATCATCATGCTGAATGTGGTTAAGATAATGAATTAGTGCTAATGCACAATTATTTTTAATTATAGGAAATAAACTAAGGCAACATCTATATATTTCTATTCCCATACAGTTCAGAAAGAATATTCCTAGCATGATCTGAAATCTCTTAAGAAAAGCCACATTGACACTATTTTTTTCAATTAATACACTCCTACATTTGTGACCCTTTTATTGAAATATTTTAATTAGCCATTTCTCCATTAGGGAGATCTTACCTGTACTGTTGTGACCATCTATGTGCGACTTTTAGCTCATCTTGAAAATGTCTCAGCTCTTCATTCATACTCTGAAATTTTTTTTGTTGGTTTTCTAATTGTGTGCTTAAATCTCTAATTCTAAAAATACAAAGAAAAATTATATTCAATGCAAGTTTAGAATATTTAGCAATTAGCATTGTTTTATAAATAATAACTCACGAGTCTACGGCACTTTACACCTCCCACAGAATGTCTCCTCGGCAAGGTGTCCCCGTTAGAAATTCTCCCACCTTCCAAAGGCATCCTGTCTCCAACCTCCTTGGCCCACTGACCCCCGAGGCAGCCCAGCCCATTTGGGAGCAGCTCTCATCTTCACAAAGGATCTCCTACTATTAGGTGTCAATTGGCCCCCGTGATTGCCACTTATCACCGCTGCTCTGTCTCTGGTTCCAGAGAGAACCAAAGGAATCCCTCTTCTCATAGCAGCGATTTAAACCCTTGAAGGCCACCCTCACGATATCCTCCACACTAAATAGTCTCACTCAGAATTTCCGATTGGAAAAGGACTTGTCCCCAGCAGCCACTTGGTCATAATGACAATTGACCATCTAGCCCAGGGGTGGGGAACCTATCACCTTGAGGTCACATGTGGCTTTCTAGTTCCTTGGGTGCGGACTTTTGACTGAGTTCAAGTTTTACTGAAAAATCATTTTATTAAGGGGATTTGTTCTGTGAAGACTGGATTCAGTCAAAGGGACTTGAGGACCTAGAGGGCCACGTGTGGCTCCAAGGCTGCAGGTTCTCCAACCCCTAAGAGACGTCCAACGAGGATGAACCCAATCTCTACCCACCCCCGATGCAGCCCATTCCCCTTAGGATAGCTCTAATTGTGAGAACATTTTCCTCACACTGAGCCAGTGTCTGTCCCTCCACAGCTTTTCCCCACCAGCTCTTCCTACTGCCCCATGGGGCCAAACAAAATAGATATAATCCTTCCTGACAAGACAGCTTTTCTAGTACTGGAATACTATTACCACACCCTCCCTGATCTTTCTCTTCCCCCGGGCTAAACATCTTCAATTCCTTCAATCCATTATCATAGGAAGTGAGCTGGAGGCTCTTCATTCTGCTTGCCTTTCTCTGAATTCTTTCTAGATTATCAGTGACCTTTCTAAAATGTGGCATCCAGAACTGAACACAATACTCTAGATGTAGTCTGATAATAAAATAAGGGAGGATGATCACCTCCCTGTGACTGGAAGCTATGTCTCTCTTAGTGCAGCCTCTGATTGCATCAGCTTTTTGGACCCCCATCTCGTACCGTTGACTCATATTGAAGCTGTGGTCCATTGAAACTCTTGGGTTTTTTTCAAGAAAACTGCTGGATAGGGATGCCTCCCCCATTTTTTATTGCAAAGTTGATTTTCTTGAACCCACGTATATTTAACCCTACATAAACCCACATATATTTAACCCTACATAAACCCTACATTTAATGCTAATAAACTTAATTTGATATAATTAATTTGAGCCCAGGTCTTAGACCAGAGGCATCAAACATACCACCTTCAGACGTGTGCAGCCTACGCCACTCCCAAATGACAACCCAACCAGATTAAAGTGTGGTTCCTGTCTGATTTTCATGTGTTGATGTATAATAAAGAAGAAATATGCAGAGATGGGTGGCTTTCTAAGCCAATACGTGGCCTGTAGGGATCCTTACCCATGGTTTGGCCACGCCTATTTGTGTTTGAGTTTGACACCTCTGCCGTCTTAGGCTACTGAAGATCTTTATGGCTCCAGATGCTGTCAGACAGTTTGTGATCTATCTTAGCACAGGAACAGGCAGGGATAGCTGGGACACTCCATGGAGACTTCCTGAGTCGTCATCAAGCCAAGAATGACCATTTGGACCAGTTCAAAAGCCATCTAACTGCACTGTCATCAAAGCTACATTTCTCTCATCTTGACATAGGATCATAGATATGGGTCTCAAAGGGACATCATATATAGAGCTTAACTATCTCAATATGCAGGTAAGGAAACTGAGGCTTGGGTAAGTAACTTGACCAAGGTCATACAGGCAGTAACAGAGTTCTCTCCAAACCAGATCCTCTGGCACCAACTCCAGAACTCTTTCCATCACACCACATTGCCTTTACCACAAGAATACCAGGAAAGACTTTGTCAAATGTTCTAGAAAAACCTAAGTGCACTAGATCTGTGGCAATCCCCCACACACCAGTAATCTTCTCAAAAGAGGAAATTGGGCTAGTGTGTGAACACTGCTCTTCCAGAAGCCATGTGGGTGCACCCCTTTCTGGATGTTCAGTAATCAACAATTGAATTTGATCAGTAATTGGAATCCAATTCATTGTCCTATCATTTCTGGGCTCCATTCTCTCCCCCTTTTTGAAAAGCAGAACAACATTCTCCCTTCTCCCTGCTGTGGTCTCTTGACATGTTCTAGAACTGCTCAGGGATCATCAGCAGTGCCTCAGTCATCACCCTGGCAGCCTGTTACTCTTTAATGCCAAATACTCAGCTAATATTAACTGATTGATTACTCTCTAATACAATCATCAGGTAATGTCTATAGTGCTTCTGCCAGTAAAACTCCAAATTGTAGTCACAAAGAGTCAGACATGTCTGTAACCACTCAACAACCACAATAAAAGTTACATACAGTTGTTAAAGCAGTATAGCTACATAATAAATCAGAGTTCTATATAAAAAATTGTTTTCAAGATTATTACTTAGTAGCACTAACACGATGAAAATTTATGTCATTGAAAAGTACCAAAAATAAAATATTTATATTTTTAAAAATCTAATATTTTTGCCTTTTCAGTTCCATAAGTTACAACAATGTGCTTTACAAAGCCCCAAAGGAAAAAAAAATTCTTTCTTTTCTCTCCAGGTTCTCTACTATAAAGGGAATTTGTGTTTATTTGAAACAAACAAAGGGTTACTATTCTATGAGGCAGGTAGGTGCCTATGTAGGTAGCAGATAAATGTGTCTAGGAATTACTGGAAAAGTAAAAAGTAGGCTGTAAACTGTGAACAGCACAGTGATAGGATCTGTGTGCATTGAATGCTTTTGACGCAGGCACCCAGTGCACGTCCCCAAACAGGAATACATACTAGAGTTGCCATTCTCATGTTACTGTGCTACACAGCAGTACACCAGTGGGAAGGCACATGATATGCTCCTCCTTGACCTCTGCCCCTTCAGAATGTTTCCTCTACTAAATTAACATTGGCCGAAAGGGAAAAACTCATATTCTTTAGGAAACATCAGCATCTTACCCTTTATTTGCTATATTTTTACAGTGATGGTTCAAAAACACATACACTGAAACTTCTGTTTCTAATTTTATTGTTGTTTCAGTCATGTCTGGATCTCTGCAACCCAGTTTGGGATTTTCTTGGCAAAGATCCTGGGGTGGTTGGCCATTTCCTTCTCCAGCTCATTTTACAGATGAATAAACTGAGGCAAACGGTGAAGTGATTTGCCCAGGGTTACACAGCTAGTAAGTGTCTGAGGCTGGATTTGAACCCAGGTCCCCCTGACTCCAGGGTCATCCACTGCTCTACCTACCTGCTAAAATTCTACTAAAGAATGAAAACTGGAGTCATGATTCAACATCATTATCATCATCAGTAATAATTAATACATTCTCATCAAAAAGAAGAGAATTGATAGAAATTCTCACAGCACATGACAAAGAAGTTAAAACTTACAGAAATACTTTCAAAAAAAAAAAAACCCAGACATCATCCCTCTCTCCCCTTGCCAATAATAAAGGCTTTCAACAGGAATAAGCCACTGAGTTTGTAGAATGGAATCAAAAATGACTTGCCTAGGAAAGACAGTGAAACTATAAAGCTCCATGATGGGCAACGTTGACGTGAACTCAACCAACATGAGGTCAATAAAGAAGCATCAAACATACATCTGAGTCATGCAGATTTGTTTATAGAAATGGGAGGGCTTATTTTATTGACTCCACCTCAGGTTATCACTGCCACAGAAGGATAAAGACACCAGGCTTATTAACACAGATCACACAAAGAAATGGTAACACTTACTCAAAGCATCTCTGCAGGATACAAAGAGTTAGTATAAAAAGCATTCATTTTTCCAACTGTACAAGTATTTGGAACATTAAATAGAAAAGAATAATTGTAGGACAGTGACTTATCCCAGGCCCATTCCTACATAAACGCCATTGAGAAGGATGAGAAGAAAGAAGTGAATAACAGTATTAATAAAGCCTCTTAATATGTAAAATGTTGTGAGGTTTGTAACATAAGTTTGGAAACCTATATAAGGTGTTAAGAAAAGCCCCAGACACTGGAAACAAGTCCCCATTATTTTAGATTAATAATAATAATAATAATAATAATGATGATGATGATAAGAAGTAAATAACCATAATAATCTAGTATAGGACAAACCCAAAGATCCAAGTTTTGGGGACAAAAACTCATTATGTGACAAAAACTGCTGGGAAAACTGGAAGACAGTATAGGAAAAACTAGGTATAGACCAACATCTCACACTGTATATAGACCTTTTAGACTAGGTCAAAATGGATACACGATTTACACATAAAGGGTGATACCATAAGCACATTAGGAGAGCATGGAATATTTTACTGTCAGATCTTTGGAGAAGGGAAAAATTTAGGACCAAACAAGATATAGAGAGCATTATGAAATGTAAAGTTGATCATTTTGATCATATAAAATTTAAAAGTTTTTGCACAAACAAAACCAATGCACCCACAATTAGAAGGAAAGCAGAAAACCAGGGGGAAATTTTTACAGTATCTCTGATATAGGACTCATTTCTCAAATAAGCAGAGAACTGAGTCAAATTTATAAGAATACAAGTCATTCCCCAATTGATAAATAGTCAAAAGATATGAACGGGTAGTTTTCAGAGAAAGAAATAAAAGCTATCTATAGTCATATGAAAAAATGCTCTAAATCACTATTGATTAGAGAAATGCAAATTAAAACAGCCCTGAGGTACTGCCTCATACCAATCAGATTGGCTATCATGACAAAAAAGGAAAATGATAAATGTTGGAGGGGATATGGGAAAACTGGGACACTAATGCACTATTGGT